CATGATGAAAATCGACACTGTGATGAATTTTGTCGTGACTGCCAAGGTTGAGAGAAAGAGAACGATCGCAAGAGTATAAAGACGATGGGTTTCTGAAAGCCATTTTTTTTTTTTCAGCCTGAGAGTCATGCAACAACTCATTTTAACTGCCATCCTAAACTGTCTCAGGCTCTTTGACAGACTTGAAAAAGCCATCATGCTATATGTAATGAACATATTGGCCTCAAAGTAAGTAGATGATGGACAAAATCAAATGCAGAAATAGTTGGAGGCTAAAGAAATATTGAATTGCCTACGAAAACTGGATCGATTTCAAAGCAACCCTGAGAGTTGCCCCAACAAATTGAGGAGAATTTAGATTCTTTTCATTCTTGTCTCTAAATCAGGGAGCTGTTCGTGAGGCAAACTTGATTTACATTGAAAACACTGAAAAGGTTCACTGGTTATTAGTTGCAAATGTTGATCCTGCAGATATTTTTTTGGCCTTTAAGGCGATTATAAATGAAACAGATGGAGAAAAAAAAACATCAAGAAAGAGAAGAGGAGAGAACGAAAATACGGCTGTTTATCACAGTTGTACACGACTATAATGGTGCAATTTGAATAAATAATTGGTGGCAGATGGGTAGAGTGTTGACAAAACATGTTGAAAACCATTTTTGGTGAAGCTTGGCCATGGGGTTAACATGGTCCCTCTGCGACTCTCTGTTGGTAGATGCTTTTTTTGTAGATACTTTATAACAGTGTTCCTCAATAGGCGGCCCGCGGGCCACATCCAGCCCGTGAGAGAAAAATGCTTGGCCCGCGCTAATGTCAAATAACGTGGCATGAAAATTCAAACGCAGCATCAGAAAGTGACATTAACTTACATCGTGTCTACACCAGACGCGAGCTGCGCGGCACAATGCAACAAAATACAATAGAACCCATTATAATCAGTGATGCTGTCAACACTGGATGCAGAGCGGTGCGACAAATCCCCAACAGTAAACTGCTGCCTCGTTCCTGTCTTTGAAATCTGAAAAATCAAACTGCCACCACTGTCAAACTGCCACTACTGTCTAAAAATGGAAGAAGACAGAAGATGTCTTCACCAAGCTTTCCAGGGTCTTGTCCTCTATTTTGTCAGGCATTCCATCCTGATTTTCCACAGAGACGTTTTGCGGGCTGTTTTAGCATTGATCAAAGGTCCACAGCTTTGATCTTTCGTCCTAGTGCTGCCAAAAGATCACTCCGGTCTCTCTGGCGAGCAAGCTGACAGGACAGTAGACCAACAATGATAATTACAGGCTCCTCTTTATGTTTCTTTCTGTGTCTTTCAAGCAAAAATTTGTTTTAAAAATGGCATAAACAGACACTCTGCTCTACAGCCTGAATTCCTGGCCTGTAGCGCGGCGAGAGAGAAAATAAGAAAAACAAAAGTGCTTTTACTCTTTAGACAATGAAGAGTATAGATTAAAAGAGAATATAGTGTTTCTGCATGATAAGACGCGAGCTGCGCGGCACAATGCAACAAAATACAATAGAACCCATTATAATCAGTGATGCTGTCAACACTGGATGCAGAGCGGTGCGACAAATCCCCAACAGTAAACTGCTGCCTCGTTCTATTTATGACATACTGAAACAAAGTTCAAATGATTTGCAATGCTTTGTCGCGTCCAGTGTAGATGTGACAACAAAAACATGGCGAGTGAGAAGAAAAGAAAAGTGGACACGGAAAATAGATGATAATGTGAATGGACTGAGCAGTTTTGAGTGAGTGACAGGACAGTAGACCAACAATGATAATTACAGGCTCCTCTTTATGTTTCTTTCTGTGTCTTTCAAGCAAAAATTTGTTTTAAAAATGGCATAAACAGACACTCTGCTCTACAGCCTGAATTCCTGGCCTGTAGCGCGGCGAGAGAGAAAATAAGAAAAACAAAAGTGCTTTTACTCTTTAGACAATGAAGAGTATAGATTAAAAGAGAATATAGTGTTTCTGCATGATAATAGGCTGGTGTCTCTATTCAGCTTTGCTCTCATGTACATTAATACTAAATGATATCTTAAAGCAAATCCTCTTTTTTATGTTCTTAAAATGTGTCTGCAGGGCTTAAAATAAAGGGCAGTTTTGGAAGATCGTGTAGGAACCCATATCTTCCTCCAAGACTTTTGAAGACATAAGGGTTCTTCCAGGAATCCCATCATAAGGGAAAGGTTTTGAGGTACTTGAAATATATTTTGAAGTTCCTTGCACAAAATAGGATATTTCAGTTTTGAGGGACCTTCAAGGGTTTCTTACATGTTCTCCTAAAGGTTCCTAGTGTGGCAGTTAATTGTACTTTTATTTTTACATTGTAGGTCCAACAAAGAATTATCATATCAAGAACCATTTGTGGCCACTACAACCATTTGTAGTTGACCTACTGTATATGTTTTTTTGTTTTTTTTTGGAGATTAAAACAAGTTTTTGATGAGCATATTGGTTTCTGGACATATTTGTTTTATAAGAACCAGAGAATAAATATTCTTTGTGCAATTAGTATCAGGCTAAAAACCCTTTTAGATCTCTTGGCCTTCTATTTTGTGCGATTTTCCTTCTGAATAGAGCTTTTCTACTGTCTTCCAAGCTTTGCAGCCCAAATGTGACCATATCATGAAGTTTTGTTGGATCATTTGGTCAAAAGTAGTAGCATTAAGAATTTTCGTTGTCATTAAACTGGCAAATAAGATGAGAATCAATGAGGCTAATAAACCACAGCACTCCTGTAATATAATATATACGCACATACTTCAGCATACCCCATTAGTTTCATCGCCTTGTTCAAACACATATAACTACACAAAATGTCAACCAACATTTCACACAGCGAATAAAATCCTTTTACTTTTTGACTAACAGGCGAGATGGGCATAGAAGTCTCCGGAGCTTTTTAGCGACTGCCAGCAACAGGTGAAAGCAGACCCCTGTTTTGACAAACAGATGAAGCTTCCATTAGTGCGGCTAGAATTCTGCCTTTTTGGACAGCATCTTTGAACTTTTTGCCACGGCTAACCACTCAGCAGGTGATGCTGATCATTAGTAGGCAGAACATGCAGTTGTGGTCGGTGGCACGTGGAGGGAGCCAGATTCTCATCAATACATGGAGCAGACTGTGGTTGCGAAGGACAAAACATAGACAATAACATCACAACTGAACAGTAGAGTTCAAAAGGTTGAAATATATTAAATGTTCTATTTTATGACAAGTTGTGAAAAGAAAACATGTTAATGTGACAGTAAGAACACATGGGTATAAAGCACCTTTTCAGAGCGTTACAGGAAGTCTGTTATGCTAAAAGTTGATCTGAGTACTTAATCTATTTGCATTTGCCTGACTTTTTGTCTATCTGTGATGTTGTATGTTCCTCTATTTTGCATTATTGGTCTTTACAGTGCATATTGGCAGGGTAATATGTGAGAATCTTGTTGTTACACCATTCCAATTACAAGAAATTAATTAGCGATTTTTAAATTTTTTAAAGTCACAATTTTTTTCTGTACTTAAATGGCTTTCATACTGATATTGTAGCTGCCAAGTTCGTATTTCAAGATGCAACCGTTTATTATGGATGTTTTTTTTTTTTTTTTTTTCCAAACAACCACTTTCTGTAGTTGCTTTTGAAAAATTACCAATCACCAACTGTGATGTCCAGCCCAGTCTCGTGAAAAAAAAAAATGTCCATGGTGGCAGTTTTTCAAAATGATATTGCGTTGGTTTTTACGTGTATCACTGCAGTTCCCAAGTGAAATGGCGCGTTTAGTTTTCACCGGAACAAACGAACGTGTCGCAATTCACTGGTTCCTACAGTACGGTTAATAAGTCTAGATGGTATACAGATTAATCTACTGGGCATGCGCACATCAATACAGCATAATTTTTGTCACAATGTACAACAATAATTACTGTTTTTGCATTATTGTAAGGGGTAGGTTTAGGGTTGGGGTAGGTGTAGATGTTAATAAAACACAATCTAATAGGTAGAAAATTTTATTTATTGTTAGCTTCCGGTTTTAATGGTATCCCTTCTAGCCACAACCGGTTCCTACAGACATATCGCGGCACGTCGGAAATGAAATGTCAGGTAAGTGGCGCTAAAAGTTTAATTCTCTATTGACTGCGAAATGAAGAAAACATCTCCCCTACACTAAACCCTTCCAACAGTGTGAGCAAAAAGCAAGTGTGAGATTAAAACTACATCGAAACAACCATGATGTTTTAACTTGTTTCTATACTACACTTTGAGGTCATCTGTTGAGTGTCGCGTTTCACATATTTGAACACACTGCCGTTTATACGATTTTTTTCATGTCTTATGCTCACCAAGGCTGAATTTATTTGATCAAAAATACTGTAAAACAGTAATATTGACAACCATTACAGTTTAATGGAACTGTTTTCTATATTTTAGTATATTTTAAAATGTCATTTATTTTTTGCTGAATTCAAAGCTGAATTCTCACCAGCCATTAGTCTTCAGTGTCACATGATCCTTCAGAAATCATTGTAATATGCAGATTTTATGCTTCAAAAACATTTCTCATTATAATAAATGTTTAAAACAGTTGTGCTGCTTAATATTTTTGTAGAAACTATGATACATTTTTTTTTCAGGATTCTTTGATTTAACAATATTTAAAAGAACAGGATTAATTTAAAATGGAAATCTTTTCTTTGTCTTCACTGTCACCTTTGACCAATTTGACCATGTGTCCTTGCCGAATGAAAGTATTAATTTATTTTAAAATAAAGACAAACTTAAACAAACTTTTGAATGTTATAGCTGGTTATGTGATGCATAGCTTATATATACAGTGTGGTAAAAGTTGTTTTGAGAGTTTCTTTGTCTTAAGATGAGAAGAGCACAGTCTTTTATAATGGACAAAATGCCTTATAATCATAATTTGTGTGAAAAGGAATAAAAGAGTGTCGACGTTTTACTGCCACTAGTGTTCATTTCAGTTGGAAACTGCAGGGAATTGTATGTACAGTATGTTTTTTTACAATGAGTCTAGGTTGGTGATGTCAGTCAGAAATCTGCCATAATAGGATAACGGATAGATGCAGTAAATGCCTAGTTAACTCAACAATAACATTAATACGTAACCTGTATATACATCATATTAACACCCTTGCTTTAAACTGAACTGGGTCTTAAGCTGAGCCAGAGTAATAAGTTAATGTACTGTACAGTACTCAGGCGAAAAAACAAAACCAGAACTTAATAACATTTAACAAGTCCCCATCAAATGCAGATGGTATAGCATTGCTCATGAGGAAGAGTCCAGCTATGTGGCCAGCATAGGGAGGAAATGAGTAGATGGGTGTCTCCGTCTAGCTTTGTGGCCTCTGCGGGGCTTCCCTCGGCCGTTCAGTGACACGAACATCTGCCTCCCCCTGTGCTTCCAGCGCAACGAGGCGTAGGTGTTATAGCCGTTCTCTTCGATGCGCTCTTTGAACTTGCAGCTGGGGCTGTATCTGACCTGCAACGAGTCAAATGAAGAGTGCAGCTTGAGTCACTACTCGAACTGTGTTGTTGACAACATCAAAACGTTTACAGTAGTTTTGTACATGCAGTGTTCTTTTTTACATACTTGTCTTTTGACAGAAATATTCTTTAATTTTAGTCAGTATTTCATTGTCAAATACATTCATTTAAATTCAGTTTTCATCTAGATAACTAAAATGGCACCAGAAGTTGGGGAGTAACGGAATACATGTAACGGCGTTACGTAATCAGGATACAAAAATCTAGTAACTGTAATCCGTTACAGTTACGTCAAAAAACAAAGTATTCAGATTACAGTTGCATTTTGTAAAAAGTGGGAATACTATCAGGATTACATTTGTTTCATTTTAAATTAAATAAATTAGTATTTTGACATAACGCTGCATAGTTTCTGGTTCTGTTGACACGTGTTGACTCACGTGAGCCGCCTGCTGGTGTGTGCGCAAATAACACCCGTCTACATTTATTCTCCTCAAACGCGGGATGACTGAGACGCTGCTACAGTAAATTAATTACGATGCTTCCTGCTGTGAAAAAAACGTTTTCATGTCTGGAATTTCACAGTTATTTTGTTTTCAAAGAGGATAAAGGAAATAACATAGTTTTACAGCGTAAGCTATGCATGAAGACTCTTGCTTTAACAAAGGCTACTCAACCAACTTGAACATTTGCAGGTACGAGTCCGACTAGCATGGAAATCATCATGTTAGCTAAAATTTTGTGTTTGTTAGTGATTTCAAATTCCATGGTGTGCATGACTGCAGTTGTAAGTTTTCTAGCGGAAAATGAGCCTGAAAATGTAGAAATTAACACAAGAGTCCACACACCCCGGATCAGTCAAGGAAATAAAGAAAGATAGCATTTCACATGCATTTCGACATGTAAGCTTATTTTAAAATAGACTAATATGTACATGGTGTAAATTTTTTAATGTTGTGTAAAAACTATATTTATTTTTTCTTGTACGTTAAAGAAATAAAAAATGAATAATAAAATATATATGTATATAAATATATATGTATTTCTCTGGCCAAAATATACTTCAGATATATGCGAAATACATGTTGTAAACAGTGCAACTTAATGGAAATATATCAAATATATCAAAGTGAAAATACAGTACATCTACACCTTCAAATGACAAAAATATTGCCAAATGTACCTCAAATGGCAAGAAAACACATTCCCAATCTTAAATGCATTTTGCTTTTGCCAAAAAATATAATAGTGTTTAGATTGAAATGTATTTTTTTTTAATTACTTAAGTTTATTCAAATATATTTTAAAATCTAAGGGTAAGCTGCAAAGTTTATATCCAAAAGGCAAATGTCTGGCTACACAAGATGACACAGAAATTTACTTTTTTTTTAAACAGCAGATTTTGAGCTTTAAGTCCCCAATAGTCAGATTAGATGTCAGCTATTTTGTTTTTACAGAGGCCATTTTCTTAAATAATTACATATGGATCACTAAGTCCAAATATGTTATTTTCCTTTTATTGTTTAGCATATTAAACCATACAATCTTACCAAGCACACTGAACTATGTGGTGAAAAACAGCATCAGAAATCTGGGAGTGAGTTATGTTCCAAACATCCTATTGTGTACCCATTACGCATTTGTATTTATCTCAACCAGCCTGTCATAGTAAATCAACCGTCACCGTCTCGCATGGGCTCAAAAAGCTGCCTGACGAAGCCAAGAGAGCTCTGCCACTCTGCCACAGCTGGATAAAGCTATTAACTTGAAAAAGGGACAAAAAGGATGAATGACAATAACACTTAAGAGTCCTGGTCAAGGCAGCTTTAGCCTACAGTCCGATAAGATCACTGTGGAATGAGTGAATGCGACTAATAATCATTCAAAAGGGTAAGAAAAGAAGGGTGCTTAGGCCTCGAGTGATTCCCAAGGTTTGTCATGTTTACTCTGGGGATCGGAGGACAGATATAGCCATCTGTAAGCTATCTTATCATGGCTGGGTGACAGATTGCCAGGGTGAGATTTCTCAGAGAGCAGTTAAAGTGCACCATGCAATGGGGCGTCTTCATTAAACAAGCCACAAACAACTGTCTGGTGGCACGCACTAACGTCACAAAAACATTAAGTGTCCAAAGATTTGGGACGTTCCGGTAAAAGACCAAATGTTAGTTCCAGGATATTTATTGGATGACCCAGATTTACACATTTTTGTTTCTTTAATTTGCAAAATGTTAATACTATAAGATGCTGAAACATTGTGATGTACCTACCGATCCGAAGAGCGTTCCCTTTTTGGATATAGCTAGGTACAGGCCAGTGCTGACAGATTTGATGGCGACAACTCCCACACTGACAGATCGGATTTCCATCAGACCTGAGGAGGGGAAAAAAGGAACAGAAGTCTGGTTTAGAAAGGGCGAGTTTCTCCATCAAAAGCCACTCTATCATTGCTGATTAGAAAACCAGGCATCCATATACTCAAGGGATGTGTTTTTTTTTCTCCCAGGACAAGAAAAAACAGGACACACTACAACAGGCCAGTTTGAATGATGCTCTTTGTGAATCCACCAAGAACAACCTAGATTTCCAGACATGGTTTTCTTTGGAACTCAGGTGGCACTTATGGCATAATCAACGACAACATAATGAAGTGTAGAAAACGACAATATGCTGCATTGATATTATGGACAATGTTGGGGATAAAACTTTAAAGTTACGAATACGAAGTTGCAAGTAATGCATTACTTAAAGGGATAGTTCACCCAAAAATGAAAATTCTGTCATTTATAACTCCCTCATGTTGTTCCAAACCTGTAAGACCTTCGTTCATCGTCAGAACACAAATTAAGATATTTTTGATGAAATCCGAGAGCTTTTTTGCACAAAGAAAACAAAAATAACTTTATTCAACAATTTCTTCTCTTTCGTGTGAATCGATGCATGTTCACGAGAGTAGTACGACACATGCGTGTGGTGCTGTTGACACAGGAGCTGGCGTTCTAACGTAGAAGACGCATGCGCAGCACCTTGTTTACAACCAGAGGAATGCACATGCGTGCATCGTGGTACTTTCATGTACAAGCGTTGAAGACTGACAAGGAAGAGAAGAAACTGTTGAATAAAGTTTTTTTTTTGTAAATTTCATTGCGCTCAAAAAGTATTCTCGTTTTATAAAATTACAGTTGAACCACTAATGTCACATGGACTATTTTAACAATGTCCTTACTACCCTTCTGGGCATTGAATGTGATAGTTCTGTTACCGTCTATGCAGGGTCAGAAAGTTCTTGGATTTCATAAAAAAATATCTTAATTTGAATTCTGAAGATGAACGAAGGTCTTACGGGTTTGGAACAACGAAAAGGTGATTAATTAATAACAGAATTTTCATTTTTGATTGAACTATCTCTTTAATATATTTACATCATATTATTTTATTTACTGAAAAATTGATTCTAAGTGTACTTGCTAAAATAAAAATTTGGCTTTGTCATTTTCATGCTGATCAATGCGTGAAACAATGGTGACCTTGTTTCAACCCAATCTCTCGAGAAAACAGCTATTTTACAAGTGTGGAATTTCGTACACATTCATACGATGTAATTCATGAGATTTGTATGAAAAAATAAGTATTAAACTTTACCCCTAAACCCTAACCACAAAACTTACCCCTCAGTTGAGCGTATGTCAATGAATTTGCGCATATTTGTACGAATTGGAAAAAAAATTTAAATGGTCACAAATTTTTGTGAAACTGTGTTGCCTACAGGAAAAAATCTTGGGATTTTAAGTTTTCATTCCTCTCCTCTGCCTTGCATGCTTTGTCCCCTAAGTCAGCTAACAATGAGGAAATGTGTTACTTACCATATAAATATCAATTTAATGTAATGTAATGTTTGTTTTTATAATGCAATATTTATGAAAAGTAACGCTTCCCAACACTTAATTAAGTCAGGAGAGTTCCATGTTCCGGAATATACCAAGAACGAATCAATGAAATCAATAGTCAAAAATGCATTTCACCTATTCGACTCTACTGTATCTAAAGCATTTTTTTTTTTCTAATGATCTGGCAGTTTGGTTTCAGATTGATTATTTTTGGATGTCCATCATGCTCGGTTCTTCTATTGCTTTTTTTTGCTCTATAATGGAGGCTGGACCATTGTCATGACAATAGAGCAGATTGTTTAGGAGATGACCTGAGATTGTCCTGTGAAAAAAAAAAAATGTATTGCTTTTTGAGAGCATTCCTCTCCATTACATCACATACTTCATATTGTCTGATGTTATCTGTTGAGAGCATCCATGAGTGTTTAAGGCTCGTAAAAAACATCTTAAAAGGAAAAAAAGACAAAACGCTGCAAACCATTTGGTGTCAGCTGGGTGCCTCTCTATAATACTGCAAGGGGAAACAGTGCAGACAAATCAGCTGTTGGCTTTGGACAAGGACTGTAAACACTGTAACACATCGAGGTGCTGAATGATATGTTGACCTAGCGCCAGTTGGGAAATGAACACACAAAAAAAGCACAGGAAGGCAGATCTGTTGAACACATGTGTTGCAGGTGGCAGACCGAAGAACTTGGGTTTGGGATTCTGGTTAAAGCTTTTCAGCTGTGACTGAGTAAACCCTCGCTGTCAGGTTTGAGCAGGTGTAGCTATTTCTCAACAGCCATTTCTTCCAGTTTAAACTCATAGACTAATTATCGTCTGCAACTTTGTGACACTTCCTGGGATGAATGTACTTGTTGAATTACACATGTTTTATTATGATATAAAATACTGTGTTCTATCAGAAAGACTTGGAAAACAGAATAGAAAATGTAGCGAGAGAATAACATCCTTAGGTGTAAGCTATTTCTGATGGGTTTGGAAATTAAATCACTGTAACCGATAAAACAGAAGATACTGCAGCAATTTAATGTCACTATATAACAAACTTCTATCATTCATTATTGTTCATATGTATTTTGTGGTTAACTCTAAAAGCAAAAAGCAAACAACAGTCCTCCAATGCTTGCCATCTTATTCCTGAAATACTATTTTTTGTGATTTTATTTATTTATTTAAATGCTTTTTATAATATATTTATTATTCTTTTGGCTTTTTAAGTTTTTTTTTTTGTGTGTTAATTTTTTTAAATGTATTTACATTTACATTACATGTATGCATTTGGCAGATGCATTTATCCAAATCAACTAACAATGTATTCAATAAATATATTTTAAAAAGCATCTGTTAAATGCATACATGTAATTTAAATGTATTGCAACCTAGAAAATGCCGTAAAAGTAACAAAAAAGATTAAAATAATAAAATAATATATTAAAATGTAAAAATTAATATAAAGGAAACAATAATAGGGCAACAGCTGACAGGCAACAGAAAGTGAAATCTTTTTCTTGTAACAGTACATACATAAATTAAGTCATGTCTTTCTTCATAAACTTAAATGGATAACGTAGCCCTTCATCATGAAGACGCGCTGATAGATCGCTCAGGTATACAGCTGCGACCTCATTCTATAATGTCTGTCCTTTGAAGGCCAATATGTTATTTACTTGCTGTGTTTACAACATGGTAGCTTTGGTGACGGACACGTGCAAACAACTCATAAGACATCCAGCCAGTCTCCCAGATGATTGGAGCTCACATTGAGTTTATGAGGAACGGTCCAGTCAAATGAAAAGCACCGGTGTCTGAAGTAAGTGCTGTTACTTCTAATTTTCATTATTAGCTGCTCAAAGCTGTGAGTCAAATCCAATTCAGCTGTGAAAGTCAGGAAGACCTCCTGAATAAAGAACTGGTTTAGTACTTTATTTAATGGGCTAAAACCTTATCTTTCAAAAAAAGAAAAAGAAAAAAACCCATCATTTGTCATCTAATGTTCATATAAATAATACATTCTTTACCATTATTTGAACTCAGTTGAACCACAGTTGAGAAAATCCGAAGGTTAGTTGGTGCGGATTTATCTAAGTGAAATTATTCAAGTTCTTAACGCATGACCACACACCTATCAAGGCCAGTTGGACCTTTATTAATCTTATTAAATGTCCTCTATTGTGTCTTAAGCTCATGGTCTCTGGAGTGCTCAAATAATTAAATTTTTCATGAAAAAAATTTCCAACACAACCTAAAACTTTGAAGACAGTAAAATACTTTGCAGTGCAACCACTTTAGCCCAAATCCCAGCAGAATGGCTCATGAGATGGTTCTTTGTAGTGATTCAACACATACAGCTACATGGACCTACAGGTACAGTGGAGTAATGTGAATGGATACACCATTTAGAATATACACCATTATACTTTTTGTTGGTAGTATTTTTTTATTTTTATATTAACCCTCCTGTTGTGTTCCAGTCATTTTAACAATGAGAAGATTTTATTTTCCCCAAAAGGCTAGTTTATGTTATCACATTGGACTAAAACGTTGCTCACACAAGGCATGTGAAAACCTGTGGGGAGAAAAGGATCATTTTTGTCTCCACCATGTTACATTTGAGGTGTTCCCAGTCAAACAAAAAATGTATTGTAAATCTCTCATTATGCTATTATATTCATAAATATTGTATTCATTTTTCTAAAATCAACTTGTTTTTATTCAGTTAGCACAAGTTTTGTATTTCTTTTTAGAACTGACTGAATGTTTTTCCACTCAAAAACTGAGGTCATTTTTGACCAGGAACACCAAATGAAGGGATTTTCAACACAGAACAAGAGTTAATGAATGAATTATTAGTGAGTAACCAATGAGTTTAGTAGGTGAAAATAATATCCGAGAAACTGCATCGTGTTTTCATCACACCTTCGGCAAACTCTCTTGACCTTTGACATGTTTTGACCGGAGCTGGCAATAAGCTGCTTGAACCATTACAAGCAAAATCCTCATTTCTACAGACTTAGTCAAGTGTAGACTACCCATTCTTCCCATCTCACATGTAACTTCTGAAAGCCCTTTGCACAGTCTTTTTACTCTTTCACTTTTGCATTAATCTCCCACCCTTTACTTTCTGGAAGTGAGCCCATCTTCAGATCATTCAGCCCTGTTTGACGTTGAAAGCAAATCATTTAAGAAAAAAGCAGGAAGGAGCTCTCAAAGCGATTCCTTTGTCAGAATTATCGTCGGGTGAGAGGAGCAGGAGGAGGAGTTGGTGGAGAATGCAGGATGTAGATGCTGGTAATAAGGAAAGTCAGGGCGGAGGTCAGGAGGTTCCTAAAATTATGTTTCCTTCAACTGGCCCTTTGCTCCCAATAGGCCTTTGTTATCTACCTGAGATTTGGAAGCTGACAAGGTCTCATTAATGACCCGGCTTTTGTCACACAGAGCAAAGTTCCACCCACATCAATTAAAAGAGAAGGAGGGGGTCGAT